TCATATTCACATTGAAGTTCCTGCTGAATTTACTGTAACTGCAAAGCTATATTCACTTGGTGATTGTAATGGGAAAAGTGGTAGTTCTGATGAGTTTTCTTACTCATTCGAAGTCCAATATCTTCCACCAATAGTGTTGACCTGCCTATTACCTAAATCATACCCAAGCCAACTACCTCCTTATTTTACCATCTCGGTTCAGTGGTTGGATTCTACTAGTATTTCCCATCTCTGCTCAATGTTGGACTCAATATGGACGGAACAACCAGGGCTGGAGGTTATATATCAATGGGCTGATTGGCTACAGAATTATTCCCTTTCTTTTCTTGGGATTGATAAAGATATCATTATTGGACCTTGTGTCACTAAACATAAAAAAGACAGGCGCGCGATTTCGGGAAGTGTATCCCTGGAGGTTGATGTTCCTTCACTGAGAAGTTACAATGCTGAGCAATGCCATGAGAACTTCTGCAAAAGCTTGCATGAATGTTGCATCTGTTGTGAAGAGTATGCAGGCAATTTTCAATCTTTTCCTAACTTTACTTTAATCTGGTCTTACTTATATAAACAGCAAAATTGTTTGGTGTACTAATATGGCTGACCTATGCTCTGTTTTTGACTGTTTTAGGTTTTGGGGGATTGAAATATTATTTGAACTCCATCAGTCCTTTTTTTATATAAAAAAGACCTTTGACTTTGCTTATAGGTTATCATAATGTATAGATGTCCCTTTTGGTCCAGTTGTTTGCTGTAATCTTTGTAGATGATGTTACTCTAGTTAAGCTTCAAACATGTGCATATGGCTGTCATTTGAAATTTGATAATGCATAGTATTTCATGTACAATAATGTGGGAGACCTTCCACTTACAACTTTCTGTGGCATTTGTTTTCTGTATGAAGACAAGGTCATGGTTGTTAGTAGTCTTGTCCTTTAACTTCACACTCCCTTTTTCGGTTCGCTGCTGAGTTAGTAGTTGATAAACATCAACTTTTACTATGAACTGATTTCCTTTTCTTACGTTTTTCAATGTACTATTTCTGAATACTATTAGAAAGCACCTCTTATCTGTTTTCATATGTTCTTCTATGGAAATTAACCTTCTTTTTTATTTATCTTACCAGGCAGCGATTTCATCAGGCTACCATGCCAGCATTTCTTCTGCTCAAAATGTATGAAGAGGTATTCTGACATTCATGTTGCAGATGGTACTGTGAACAAGCTTCAATGTCCAGATGCAAAGTGTGGGGTTATGGTCCCGCCTGGTTTATTGAAACGGTTACTCAGTGATGAAGAATATGAACGATGGGAGTCCTTGATGTTGCAGAAAACACTGGAGTCCATGTCTGATGTTTCCTATTGCCCAAGATGTGAAACACCCTGCATAGAAGATGAAGAACAGCATGCACAATGCTCAAAGTGCTTATATAGCTTTTGCACACTTTGCAGGGAGAGACGCCATTTAGGTGAAGTTTGTATGACACCAGAAATGAAGCTTCAAGTCTTGGAGGTAAAGTTTGTGTTCTCATCTTTTGTATTTAGTTTCAGAGTAACCTCTGTTGACAAGAAGGATAAACAAGCGAAAAATTTTTAATAGGGCATCCTACCAGAAGAAATGAAAACAAACTCAAAACAAGGGTGTTCTCTTGTCTAGCTGAGAAAACCCATACTTAAAGCTCCTGAGATATTAGTGATTGACAATATCTTTTCTCCATATGTAATTTCAGTTCTTAATCATTTTATAGAATGGGGAGGAAACCAATAAGAAAAGCGGAGATAGAAGGAAAGTTTCTCAGTACTCGTTAGTCTGTTGATCATTGGAAATATAATCCTTGGAATAATTAGGAACGGGATCAGGTTCCCTTATATTACACTGAGAAATCTAGCAAAAACCCTAGAATGTTGAGAATTGGAATCCCTAAATAGGGAAACCAAATTTCAAATCATATGGGGAATTGAATAAGATCCCAATATCTATTTTAATAGGAAAGAACTAAAATTCTGATTGATCAAATAAAATTAAATAATGAAATGATAATCCAGAAATCTTGCTTGGTTATGCACACCTTCTGTTTTTATTATAACTACTATGATGTTGCTCATGGTATCAGAATGAATTCTCTACCAAAAAATGCTTCTATAACTTTCATGTTAGCCTGCGTTTCAGATTTTCACAACTTGGATTTCATTTTCTCTTGATCTTTTGTGGTGCTTTGGAAAAATAAGTCAGATGTGGTAGAATGTTTTCCTTGCCAGTTGTGAAAGAATAATGATGGTATAAAAAATAATTGTTAAGAATTCAACACAAATACAAACAACAGCATTGATAGCAATTTAACGGAACCATTTGTTCATTTATTTTATGTGTATATTCGTGTTGCATTTGTTAATTTTTTTTGATATACCAATCATTACTTATCATGAAATGTCTTTAATGACCTTTAATTTTTGCCCTACAGGAACGCCAAAACTCATCTCACCTCAAAGATGGACAAAAGCATAAAGAGCGCGAGATGATAAATGAACTTCTTAGTGTCAAGGAAATACTCCGTGATGCTAAGCAATGCCCATCTTGTAAGATGGCAATCTCAAGAACTGAAGGTTGTAACAAGATGGTGTGCAAAAACTGTGGGCAGTTCTTCTGCTATCGTTGTAACAAAGGGATTGATGGATATGACCATTTTAAGTGAGTGATTCATTGAAAAGTTAAATAGTATATTTGGTTTGTTTGTCATGATCTTGCATTTGTCAGATTTATACGGTAACTTTTGCAATTATTGAAGGGATGGACAGTGTGAACTCTTCCCACAAGAAGAGATTCAACAATGGGAGGAGAGGATGAATCCCCGCCAGGTTGTGGCTCAGGTTCATGCTGAACTTTTTCCAGATCATGTTAATACATGTCCCAATTGTGGTCAATTCAATGTGAAGGTTAGTGACGACTGGTCTTTCTGTAAATCAGAATCAGATGTTGAATGCATTTAAATATTCTGAAGTGCTAAATTCTGTTTGGATCTCTCGTTCTTTTTTTATCTGACCTTATACCAGGTGCTTTCATGTCTTGTGGGCCATGTGTCCTCTTCAAAGTGCAACACCGAACCATAATTATTAAGCCCTAAACTTTCAAAAGCATTCTAGTTCCGTCCTTTTTATTTTTATTTTATATTGCATATTTATGATTGGTATTTTTTTTTTTAAAAAAAAAGCTTGGACCTGAAACTAGAAAGGATAACTGAATCCCACTCGATTCAAGACATGCATGGGCTGATCATATACAAATAAAAACTTTGCAATTGACAGTATTCAGTTTTCTTTTTTGCAAGTATAGCCTTTGGGACACAAATGAAAGCTGATCAATGTAATTTGTGGTATTAAAAGTAATATTTTTCACGAATGACAAAATAAAATGCTATTCTTATGGGCCATGTTGGCCATTAGTTTCAAGCAATGTTGAACAAAGACTTCTGTACACTACACAGTGTTAGTGTTGGTAAAATCTGTTAAATCTTCATTGAGCTTGGTTTCATTTCTTTGCTTCTAAACATTTAGGAGATAATTAATGGATTGATTCCTCTGGAACCCTATGATCAAATCTACTCCCTTTTTTCCCTTTGCTGTGAAATACTAAAAAACATTGAGCATCAGCTGCCTGATAGGTTTGTCATTTTCTTCTCTTTTGACATGGTTACAGGTTGGCAATAATAACCACATTCTTTGCTGGTCATGCCAAATGCACTATTGCTACTTGTGCAGAAAGATTGTGAGGCGTGGTTCTCAGCATTTTGGACCAAAAGGTTGCAAGCAGCACACAGTGGGATAGCTGTCAGTATAGCTCTAAACCAGCCCAGTTGAAAAAGAATACTAGAGATTCAGAAACAATAGCAAAGAGGATTTGGTTATATTCCTATGGATTGTGATGGTATGTAATTAGGATCGTCCCCCTAGTTAGAGCTACCAGGTTGAACAATGATGTCAGTTTTAAATGCTGGCTTCATGTCCGAGAGATTTCGGGCAGGCAAAGCCCTCCAAAATTGGTGTTTTCTGAGGACATTTTTGTTTTCGCTGTGGTTTGTTGTTACTACATTCAGTTTCCTGCACTCACGGTGTTGGCTGCAAGGAGTTGTGCGAGTAAAATGAGCGTGTTTTTCCTTCATGGCTTCGGTTTACTGAAAAGAAAAGAAAAGAATGAAAATAGGGCAAAAATACAATTTTGAGTTGATATTGTGTAACATTATGGTTTTTCTCTCTTTACACCGGCAAGTTGTGTTCTCTTAAAGATGAATCTCTGGATTGACTGATCGTGGAGTTTTGATGTGTTGTAATAAAATGTCAGTAACTCTCTTCTTCTCTATTCCGTTCTCTGTTTAAATGCTCCTGGTACTTTTCTTATCCAGGTTTAGAGGCCTAAATTATAGGAGTGGAGAAAGAAGTGGAAAGAACAAATTTGCCTCCAAACTATCAATTGAGTCCCCCATCTTTGAGATTATGCTCAATTAACCCTGTCGTTACATAAGGCTAAAGGGCATGCTAATTTTGCACATGATTCCCGCACTTTTTATCTTTTGCCTGATTTTATGTAAAAACGAGGCTACCTAAAATATTTTTGAGCAAAAACAAATGTTTTTAACACTCCAAATAAATCATGTATTGTTGATAATTTTTAGCAGCAAAATAATAATTGTTGATGAATATTTTGGCAAGAAGCATCAATGTTGCCAAGAACGGTCTAAAATTCAAGGCATGTATCTGTCATGTGAAAAAGTAATGGACTTTTAAACTTTAAATAACAATCGATGTTAATTTAATTTAATTGGGACAATCGAATGGTAGAGGACTCAATTGGGATATGTATAATAGTTTGGGAGTAAATTTGTTCTTTCCCCATACAGAAAACTAGCAAGCTACTCGGATTGAAACCTTAAACTACGTAGCTGCCGCGGGCAGTCTTCCATAGTGTGGAGCAATCCTGTATTTCCTGAAGGAGTAGTCATGGGAATAATATAGCTGAAAAGGAATAAGACCAAGAATTGACAGTGACGCCAAGCAAAATTAAAGTTGCATTCGAAAGCTTTGTTTAAATGTTCAAAAGCTTGATGTGAGAATCAGCATCGACTGCAGTAACACATGAGCTGAGTTTATGGGATGACTTTGCGCACGATAACTGAAGCTGGAATGTCTACGGAGAAGATAAGCAACCATTTGCAAGCGAGGGCAAAAAACATTGCAAGTTGGATCGAGTCATGAAGAAATCATCCAACAACGGTTTCACAGCAAGTCACCCTACATAACAACGAAGCTGTTACCATGCGTGATAACGGGGAAGGAAAAGACCATAATCGCAAAGGTGTAATTGATGGAAGTTGAATCCTAAAGCATGCAAACAGAGAGAAAGTTGTAGCTGAACCATAAATAGAGTTAATTAGTCTAAGCTATTCATTTAACACATGATGAAAATGTAAAAAGGAGTACACATATATCTCTTTGAAAGCCATCAATAATTTTGTGGGCGATTTAGGGGGCGAGTGGGGGGAGAAATGGCAAACAAACATAGCAAAAGGAAAACTAAATATGCATAATTTACAGGAAGTGCAAGTCAGGAAGCCAAGTAAAGTTAACATTTAACAAAGAGGTGGGAAACATGGAGAAATACATCAAAACTTTCATATGTAGTAGTTGCAAAATACAGAAGCAAGCAGCTAATAATATTGAAATTGCACATGTAAATGATAAGAAGGTGGGAAGAGGTGTGGTCTAGGAAATTGGCCAAATCTAGTAGGTGCCAAAGTTTAGCGCAACGTAAGATCACCAAGCATAATGCAGTCAGCTCAAAAGCAGAGGGCATTTGAAAGAACAGTTTGTTCAGTTGCTAAGAAAGCTAAAGAAAAGAAGTAACAGTTGTAAGCATAATAGCAAAGGGAACCACATGAAAACACTTTTTCCTTGCCTTAATTGAATTGATCACACCAAGGGTCGAGGACAAAAAAGAAAGATGAAACGCATTAGAAAAAGCTGTAAAAGGTGGGCCAATTGAAGAGCAATTGTATTGAATGAGAGTAATGCATGGGAGTGGGAAAACGATTGGATCCAAAAATGAAAACATGTTGAACTGATACAAAAGAATGGTCCTGCAAGTATCTAGTCTTGGCAGCTTTGTTTATACAAAGAGTAAGTGACATGAGCCATGCATTACCAAAATAATAAGAAAATGCATCAAGATATTCAAGGGCAGCCTAGAACAATGAAATGTCAGTGTCCAAGCAATTTGTTAGCAGCTGATAAATGCGTGAAAATACGTAAGGTCCCAGCAGAGTAGAGCTGGGTCTGGACAGATTGAATAATTTTTTGAAGAATCTTAAGATAACAAATGAAGTGACCCATAAGATAAATTAAAAGCAGGTGTCTGTTGGCAAATGAACAAAAGAACTGGAAAAAAATATGGTGCGTGAAAGAACAATGGAAACAAAAACTAGTGCAAGGTGGGAAGTCCTAGAAGAAAATGCAAATTTAAGGCTCGATTGTGATGTATAACAGTTGTTGCAAGAAAGATTGTGAATGCGACAGTAAATTTGTCTAGAGGAAATCAATTGCTAAAATAAAACCAGCGAGAAAAAGAGAAACAGAGTTATCTTGACGCGTAATTGCCCATGTGAGTGAACGTAAATAGGAAACTAGCAAAGCTTTTAACGTCAATCTCTCATGGAAAGTAACTGTAGCAAGTTTTCAAGAGCATGAATATAATTGCACTGCGCTTGGATAAACAACAAAACATATCCTATTGCCTGTGAGAATCACGGAAAGCCCAAACTCAATTTCTCAATTCCAATTTAAGTTAATATAAATATATATAAAAATGTTGTAAGAGAATTACTTTTTTTTCTTTTAATTCTTGTATTTGATTTTGAATTTTTTAGTTTAAAAAAGATAGAAGAAGGAAGTAAGTGATTCTTTCTTATATTATTTTTAATTATAATTTTTTTATGAAAGGATTAAGAAAGAGAAAGAGATTAGGGTTTATAAATATTAGAAGTCCATGTTGTTAAGATTGATTTATAATTATTAAGAGTTTAATATTAGATGATTAATTAATATATTGTTAGAAAGAAGGATTTCTGAGTTGATTTGTTTAAATTAATTTTTATGGGTAGAAAAATTCATTTTAACCTTTTTGGAAAATCTGGACATAATGGTCTCGAGGTTGAAGACCAAATTTTATTTTGGTCCTTGATTTATGAAAATTTTAGTTTGGTTTCTAAACTTTAAAAAAATTATAATTTGACCCCTAAATGTATTTTGACATTCTAGAAAGTGTTATTATGAGGTTAAGGATGATGAATCTCAGTTTGATAATTGATTTGAAATATTTTCAATTTGGTCTCTTAATTTTAGGAATTTATATTTTAGTCCCTGAACTTTATAAAAATTATAGTTCCATCCCCAGTTTGTTCTAGACAGAATTGAGGATGGTTTATAGGTGAAATTTCAATTAGTTGTGTATTTACAATTTGGATTATTTTTGGTAAAATTATATTTTAGTCCCTATTTTGGATAATTTTCGTTTTAGTCTTTAAACCTAGGAGACTAAACCTAGTTTTCTTTTATACATTGGAATCTTTTATTTATGTTGTTTTGAGTTGCTTTTGAGTATATTTTATATATTTATTATAGGTTCTCATAACAATCCTCAATAGATTTTTCGGGTCTTCCATATGATATTCCTTTTAATCTATATTTTTTTAGGTGAGTGAAATAATCTTTAATATGCATATAATATAAATAAATATGTATATTGATTATATGATGAGTACGATTAGTTAATCTCTTGAATATTTATATATGTTACTTTATTTTTTGAGTATTCATCTATTCTTGAATTTGTACTCGTATTTTGTCAAATTAAATTCTAATTGATATGATATACATTTTCTTGATGATCTTCAAATATCTATTATGTCTTGGTATAGAACTTGTCAGTAACTCCATGCTAACATAGATTAATTAGCCTATGTACACATAGTATTATGTATACCTGGCTGATGAGAGAGGCATCAACCTGTGGCGACTAATCATCCCACAGTGGTCACCTTCGAGTGTCATCTGGTCACCTTTGATTGTCATCTGATCTCTGACATGTATTATACTTGTAATATCCCATATCAACGAGTGAGGAGTTGGTTGCTAACCTTATTAGTAATACTGGTTGCCAACATGTTATACGCGTTTGGCAACATTAGGCTCAGATGTGGACTGTTAGAAACAAAACCATCAAACGTGGAAGCTAGGTTAGGCTGAGTCAAAGCAGACAATATATAGCATGTTGGGCTGGACTGTAACATTTGGTATCAGAGCGGACCTCACTGGCTGTCTGATGGTGTTGACGGGGTCGTCAGACTCCTTAAGAAAGGTGGATTGTAATATCCCACATCTACGAGTGAGGAGTTAGTGCTGGCCTTATTAGTAGTATTGCTTGCCAACATATTATACGTGTTTTGGGGCATCAGGCTTAGATGTGGGATACCAAAAACAAAACCGTGAGGCGTGGAAGCCGGGTTGGACCGAGCTAAAGTGAACAATATACAGCATGTTGGGTCAAGTTGTTACACTACTACTTTATGATAATATATATATATAAATCGACTTACGAATTATTAATATCTAAAATGTATATTAAATGTTATTCCCTCACTGAGTTGGTTAAACTCACCATTTATTCTTAATAGTATTTTAGGTTCTTAGTTTCTGATAATAGATGAATTTTGTTAAGTGTTCCTGCTTCTTCAGTTTTGGTCGGTATGCCTTGCTTATTTTGCGAGGCTTTTTTTTTAGTTTGATTTGATGTTTTAGATGCTCCATTGTTACTTTCTTTTAATTAAGTTTGAATTTTGATAATGTAATGAGTATTATGGATTATTGTTTTTATTTTAATTACTAATGAGGAGTTTAAAACTATTTTTCAGTTTCATCAGTTTTAAATAATATAATATTTCTGAAGATTATGAAATGTTGTGTATTTTTTAATAAATTGTTCTTTTAAAATGTTCGTTTTGAAGTTTAGCATAAGTGGGGTGTTCTTTTGACACTACTCTTACGTTGCCAGTTATGGACTCAGGATTCGTAAGTGGGGTGTTCTTTTGACACTACTCTTGCGTTGCCAGTCATGGACTCAGGATTCGGGTCGTGACCATAGTTTTAAAACCCGGCCCGGCCCGGCGGGTTGACCCGGGACCCGGCCGACCCGGGGCTGGAACCGGGCCAGGTTGATGAAAAAATAAGGTAAGCCATGACCCGGCGTGACCCGG